GTTAATTTTTATTACATTTATGGTTGGTATTACATTTATGGTTTTTATTACATTTATGGGTGATACACGCACTAACCGTGAGGCCACCGCCCCTCCCCTAAGAGTGCGAGGTAGAGGATCGTAAACTCGACATTCGCGCCGAGACTCCCTACAACCGCGAAGGACTTTGAGAAAGTCTAAAATCGCGACAACGTCTTTAAATAGAAAGGATCAGATTCAATACGGTTTAAATGATGAACAAAGTAAGTCGGTAAGTACCCCGAGATCATCGTTAGAGAGAAATGCCTCATGGGAAGCTGACAAGGAATCCACGTACTCCGCATCACGGATGAACGCCTGCAAAACAACAAACAGCAGCATTAGACGCCATGCTACCAAGCTCACAAGATTATGCCTCAGATTGATGTTCCGATGCTTCACTTCGCTTCACTTTTTACCAGGATCCCCCGGGATACAATTGTCGGAAGTACATATCAGTTGAATTTACGTGCGGCAGTGTAAGGTACAGAGGTTTTCAACTGAGTGTCGAAAGTAATCAGGCAATCACTTTGGTTTTGGCTTTGGTTTATTACGGTTTGATATTGGCTGAGTAGCCTAGCTGGTACGTAATTGGTTTGGTTTTCGTTTTACGACACTCAACTGAAAACTGCTCTATTGCAAGAACTAAATTTGATAAACTGGGGTTGACAAAGCTAATTCCGCTCCTCCAATTCAGCTGTGAGTGTACTGCCTTACACTATATTACAAATTCCATGAACGGAATACACATCAGTGAACAGTACATGACGTAGGCTTGGTTTATGGTTGAGCAGCTGACCTGTAAGTCCTGGCCTTCGTGTAGTACGTCATTTCTTTCACTCCAAGTGTCCTTCAGTGCTACCTTTTCTTGTTTCAGCGCTGTCACCCTGTCCCTGAGCTGTTTCACACGAGGGTTGGATGCGACCATCTTCTGACCGTATTCTATCAACTGGTCAAACCTGCAATACAAACAACAACCAACATGCTTACAGAAAATTGTCAGCTAGTAACATAGCGGTCACCTTCGACTGGCGCAAATAAAAGTTTTGTTTTTCTACCATAATAAGATTGATGAGATGAAGAGAAGCAATTTACGCTTTAAGTCAGTTGAATTTTTTTAGCAGGAAATTTAAATTTCAATATCAAAAACAGCATGATGTAATATATCAAGAGACAGTGTTTCATCCCATTTCCAGACACCGAGAAGCAAGTTGAAAATAAGGCACGGGAAGACGAGATATTTTAGTGAAACTTCAGGTGTTTTCGTGCTCGATATATATTCCCAATTGAATTAAAACGAAAGAGTAAACGCAGAAACAAAGTCGCCGTCAAAACATTGTTTAACGTGGAATTTTTTTTCACGAGTTTGAAAACAACACCTGAAATCAGAAATCATCACGTTTGTCAAACCTGTCAATTTAAACCGAACTCTTTTGTGTTATTTCCTCTTGTCTTTCCAGTCCCCTGTCCCCTCGACCTAGAGTGTGCCCCTGGAACTCAGTACCTGTCGTTATGCGTTTGAATGTCTTCCCACTTCTCCTCGTGTTCTTGTATAAGTTGTTTGGCGCTATTGACGTCTTTGGGCGTGTCTCCTGTTCTTAGTGACTCGCGCATCTCTGATGCCCAAGATAACTGCAAAGCAAATACTTCATCTAAATCCTAAGCGTGCAATATGTTATATTTCTAAAACAGTGTGCAGATTTATTCCGTTCACACCAGAAAAGAAGAATTACTCACTGAGTTCTACAATAAAATGCGTAAAATTATTTAAAACTCCCGAAGATCCCCGAGGACCTCGAAGGTGGACCCGAAGATTTCCGAAGGTGACCAGACGATTTCCGAAGACGACTCGAAGCCTTCCGGAGATTATATTAGCTCTTTTACTATGCGGGAAATTACAATACTTATACAAAGACACCCAAACCTTGAAATGCGTCTCATCTCGTCCCGATGAAACGTTTTAACATCCGCCAAACTTCTGCAAGTTCTACTTTCTATGCACTTTACAAATAAAACAAAAGTTTACCAAATCTCTTGAATCGGCCAGGAACCCTTGCTGACCATAAGCTTCATCTAAAACGTTCTTTCTTTTACTTGCTTTATTCTGAAAAGAGAGAAGAAAAATCATTTATTTGCAGAATAGTTTTTCAACATTGTGTTTGAGTTGCTGTTGCAATGTTGTAGTTCGGTCAAACAAAAACAAACTGAATTATTGTTAATCAGATAAAAATGATTGACAATGCATAGTAGCGAACCTTCAAGCCATTCCACAAACCAATGATCTCGGCTTCTTTTGCTTTAATCTGCCGAGCTTGCC